GACATACATCTATGCTGGTTTCATTTCCTTGCTATTGTTAATAGAGCAGCAGTGTACCTGGATATGTAAGTCTATCTGTGGTAAAATATAAAGTTCTTTGGGTATATGCTCAGGAAGGCTGGAAGTTTTCCTTTTAGTCTTCCTGAGAAACCCCCACACTGATTTTCACCGTGGGTGCACCAATGTGCATTCTCAACAACATCACATAAAAGTTCTTCTCTCTCTTCATCTTCACCAACATTGGTTTTCTTGATGGCCATTCTGAGTGGTCTAAGATGGAATCGCAAAGTAGTCTTAGTTTACATTTCCTGGATGCCTAAAGATTTTGAGTACTTTAAAAAAATACTTATTGTCACTGTTGATTCCCTTAGGTTTTAACTGGGATTTTCAGTTTCTGTTTAATTTGGGGGGCGTTAATATGTTCTGGGTATGAATAGTTTATATATATGACAATTTTTTTCTCCTGTTCTGAATCCCTCACTTGATTAACTATTATCTTTGCTGTCCTGAAGCTTTTTAATTTCATGAGGTCCCATTTGTTGGCTGCTGACCTTTTTGCTTAAGCAGATGGAGTCCTAGTCAGAAACTCATTACTTACATATATATCTTGAAGTGTTTTCTCTATTTTCCCTCTAGAACTTTCAGATTTTCAGGTCTCTTATTAAGGTCTTTGAGCCATTTGGAGGTAATCTTGTGGAAGGTGAGAGATAAGAATTTTGATTCATTCTTCTCCATGTAGATACCTTTTCACAGCATTATTTATTTAAAATTCTGTCTTTTCTCCAATAAATATTTTTTTCATTTTTTTGTCCAAAACAGAAATAGCTATAACTTATGTGTAGATCTTCTATTTTATTCCATTGATCTATGTGTTTATATCTGTGCCAATATGATGCTGTTTTTGTTACTATGAATCTATAGTAAACTTGGAATCAGGTGTATTGATACCCTCAGTATTATTCTTTTTGCTCAGGACTGCTTTGTTATTCAGGGTGTTTTTAATTACCCATCATTTCTCGATAAAACACTGTCTATATTAATGGTGAAGTATGTTTCTTGGAGATGGCAAACAGATATATCCTGTTTTCAAATCCAATCTTCTGGCCTATGTCTTTTGATTTGGTGAATTAAGATCTTTAATTCAGAGTTATTATTGAAATGTGTTAGTGAATTCCTTTCATTTTATTGATTTTTATAGTGTTTGGTGTATTCCTAGTCCTTATTTGCTTAACATTTTAACATTTTCCCCCTCTTCAGCCTCTTTAATTATTCTTCTTAATCTGAAGAATTCCTCCCAGTGTCCACTGAAGAGAAAATTTAATGATCATAAAAATGTCTTAGTTTCCTTTTGTCATGGGATGTTTTTCTTTCTCCATCAACTACAACACACAGTTTTGCTGGGCTTGTCAGTTTGAGTATGTAGCTGTGGTCTTTCAGAGCTTCATAAATACCATTCTATGCCCTTTTGACTTTCAATGTTTCAGAATAAGAGAAATCAGCTCTTATTCTGATGGGCCTGGAATCATATGTGAGTTGGTTTTTCTCATAGCTTTCAGTATGCTTTCACTGTTCTGTACACTTTGTGTTTTTAACTATATGATGTGTGAAGTGTCTTTTCTGCTCCTATTTGATATTCTATATGCCTCTTATATTTTGATGGACCTCTATTTAGATTTGGGAAATCTTCTATGATTATTATTGAAAATATTTTCAATGCCTTTGGTATGGAGTTCTCCTTCTTGGGCAATAATTAATAATTTGGTTTTTTTCCATGGTGTCCTCGAAATAGTGCATGTTTCATTTATAGGGCTTTTATTATTGTCCTTGACTGAATATGCCAACGATTCTAATCTGCCTTTGAACTCTGGTCCCTGTCCTCTCTATGATTCATTTTATTTATGAGTCTTTGTAGTTTGAATGATTTAATTTTTTTATTTCAAGCATCATTTTAGTTTGACTTTTCTTCAGTATTTATCTTTACTGAATTCCATTTTCAGTTCTGTATTTGCCTCCTTATTTTATTTATTTGTTTGTGTGTTTGTGTTTTCTCCTAATTCATTCAGGAGTTTATTGATGTCCTCTTTAATTTCTTTGAACATATTCATGATTATTGTTTTGAATTCTTTGGAATTTCATGTAATCATTCTCCTTGGGGGGCATTACACTGGGATTGTTAGGCATCAGGTGATATATGTTGTCTCAAAAACTATTAAGGAATAAACTCAACCAAGGGGGTGAAATACTTGAATAAGGAAAAACTTTAAGACAGCAAAAGAATTGATATCCAATGCAGAAGAGTGAAATTAGATCCATATCTATCACCATGTACAAAAATTGAATCAAACTGTATCAAAGGTCTTAATTTGAAACTGTATGTGCTGGAACTGCTAAAAAAAATACATGGAAAACTCCCTAGGATATGGGTATTGGCAGCAAATTTCTAAATCAAACCTCGCTAGCACACAAAATAACTCAAATTAGCAAATGTGATAATATTAAATGTAAAAGCTTCTGCATAACGAAAGAAAGTATCAACAAAATAAATAGACAGTGCTCATAAATGGAGAATTTATGAGCAGAATTTTTTTTCTGGTTATACTTCAGACAAGGGCTCAATATAAAGAATATCTAAAGGATTACAAAAAAATTAAACACTCAAAATACTATTATTATAAACACTCAAGCTGTTAGTCAACGAATGGGCTTTTTTAGCCTACAGCTAAAATATCTTCCACGTTTCTCCCAAAAATCAGTTCCAAAAGTAGAAGAACCATATGGTCAGGTTTATTCCATTAGTGGCCCCACTTCTGATACCAAACTTCTGTACTAGTTTCTTTTCCTATCTCTATGGTAAAAGTACCCTGACAAAAGAAACTTAAGGGGAGGGGCTGGAGCGATGGATCAGTGGTTAAGAGCACTGGTTGCTCTTCCAGAGGACCTGGGTTCGATTACCAACACCCACATGGCAGCTCACAACTCTCTGTAACTCCTGTTCCAGGGGATCCAACTCCTGAATACAGAAATACATGCAGGCAAAACATCAATGGACATAAAAATAAAAATAAATTATAAAAAAGAAGAAACTTAAGGGGAAAACATTTATTTTGGCTCTCAGCTCAAGGATATGCCCATCATGGTAGAAAAGTACTAGCAGTAGGAGTTCGAGGTGGCTTGTCACATTATACCAACAGTCAGGAGGCAGAAAGTGACTAGCGGTGCTCAGCTAGCTTTCTCTTTGGTATGTGGTCTAGGACACTAATCTGAGAAATAGAGCTATCTACATTTAGGGTGGGTCTTCCCACTTTAATTAAACCAATAAAATAATCCCAAACACATATACCCAGAAATGTATCTCTAGGATCAAGCGCAGCAGGAATCTTAACAGTTCTTATTAATAAAATCAAACCTGAGGCCAGGTATTGGGGTGAACACTGGAAGATCAGAGAAGCAGAACAAGCCACAGCTACCTCACCTCGCCAGTTCCTCAGCTGATCTTGTTTCCTCAGACTGGAAGTCTTTGAATCCTCATCCCAATGGGTCTCAGCTGAACTGTTGCTCAAAAGCCTGAAAGCTTAACCAGCCAAATGCTTAACCAGCTAAATGCTTCTAGTTTCTGGTCTTCACACCTTATATGTCTTTCCTTTCTACCATCACTCCCTGGGATTAAAGACTCGCTCTCTGGGATTAAAGGCTCGCTTTCTGGGATTAAAGGCTCGCTCTCTGGCATTAAAGGCTCGCTCTCTGGGATTAAAGGCTCGCTCTCTGGGATTAAAGGCTCGCTCTCTGGGATTAAAGGCTCGCTCTCTGGGATTAAAGGCGTGTGTCACCATGCCTGGCTGTTTCCAATGTGGCCTTGAACTCACAGAGATCCAGAGGGATTTCTATCTCTGAAATGCTAGGATTAAAGGTGTGAGTGCCACCATTTTCTAGCCTTTGTATCTAGTGTCTGTTCTGTCTCTGACCCCAGATAAGTTTATTAGGGTGCACAATATATTGGGGAACACAATACCACCACAATCAAGTTCTAGATTCTATTGACAATCATTATAAAACATCACAGATTCCATCAGAATGGCCACCATAAAAAAATAATCAATTCTGGGGAGAATGTGGTGGGAGGAAGGATCTTTACTCTCTGTTCATGGGAATGTAACTTAGTGTAGCCACTGTGAAAGTCAGTGTGTAGGCTTGTGGAGGTCTACAAAGGTTTCCTAGTGAGATCTAAGCTTGCTGTACCCAGCAGGGCTGCATCAGAGGATTACTTGACCATGTACATGGTTACTAGGTGTAGCCAGAGTTTTCCTGCCTTGCCCACAGTCAGGACAAATCTCTGTCACCTGTCAGTCCCACAGCTGCTCAGACCCAACCAAGTAAACACAGAGACTTATATTGCTTACAAACTGTATGGCCGTGGCAGGCTTCTTGTTAACTGTTCTTACAGCTTAAATTAGTCCACTTCCATAAATCTATACCTTGCCACATGACTTGTGGCTTACCAGCATCTTGACATGCTGCTTGACACGGTGGCGGCTGGCAGTGTCTCCTCCCACCTTCCTGTTCTCTCAGTTCTCCTCTCTGTTAGTCCCGCGTATACTTCCTGCCTGGCTACTGGCCAATCAGTGCTTTACTTATTGACCAATCAGAGCAATTTGACATACAGACAATCCCACAGCAAGTAGGTGATTGGGAGGGTGTACACCAATCACCATTGGTTGAGCTAGGGGGCGGTCTTTGCTCCACCCATTGGCATTCCTATAAAAAGCCCTTTAGAAGAGACAGAAGGGGCCAGGCCTTCCCGAGGCTATCTTGTGTTTCTGTTTGTTTCTCTCCCCTCTATCCTTCTACGTCTATATTTCTTTCTAAATCTCGTATCCCTCTCTCATCAAGAGTTCCTGTCATAAAAAAGTGGGAGCTGGAGTGGTGCAGCAGTGTCTAGCGGAGCTAGTTGGAAAGCGGTGTTGTGTTCCTTGAACTCCATTGCCGGGACCGCAGCCGTCACCATGTGGGTCCCAAGCGCACTCATGAAGCAGCTGCCCATTCAGTCTACGGCTGGGGCCGTCCCAGTTCGCAATGAGAAAGGTGAGATTTCAATGGAAAAAGTGAAGGTAAAGCGTTATGTGTCTGGAAAGAGGCCAGATTATGCCCCTATGGAGTCCTCAGATGAAGAGGATGAAGAATTTCAGTTCATTAAGAAAGCTGAGGAACAAGAAGCAGAACCTGAGCAGCAGGAAGAGGATTCACCCAGTGACCCCCGACTTCGGCGTTTACAGAACCGCGTTAGCGAAGATGTGGAAGAGAGACTGGCTCGACACCGGAAAGTAGTGGAACCTGAAGTGGTAGGGGAAAGTGACTCAGAAGTAGAAGGAGATGCTGGGCGCCTGGAACGGGAAGGTAGCAGCGAAGAAGAGGGGGAAGAAATTGATGATGAGGAAATAGAGCGGCGCCGTGGCATGATGCGTCAGCGAGCACAGGAGAGGAAAAATGAGGAGCTGGAAGTGGAAGATGAAGGACGCTCTGGGGAGGAGTCGGAGTCCGAGTCCGAGTCTGAGTCTGAGGAGTACACGGACAGTGAAGAGGAGATGGAGCCTCGACTTAAGCCTGTCTTCATTCGAAAGAAGGACCGGGTGACAGTTCAAGAGCGAGAAGCTGAGGCACTGAAACAGAAGGAGCTGGAGCAGGAAGCAAAGCGCAGGGCTGAGGAGCGGCACAAGTACACACTGAAGATTGTAGAAGAAGAGACCAAGAAAGAGCTAGAGGGGAACAAGCGGTCTCTCGCCGCACTGGACGCACTCAATACTGATGACGAAAATGAGGAGGAGGAGTACGAGGCATGGAAAGTCCGAGAGCTCAAAAGAATCAAGAGGGACAGAGAAGACCGAGAAGCGCTTCAAAAGGAGAAAGCAGAAATTGAACGCATGCGAAACCTGACTGAGGAAGAAAGGCGGGGTGAACTTCGGGCAAATGGCAAAGTCATTACCAACAAAGCTGTTAAGGGCAAATACAAGTTTTTACAGAAGTATTATCACCGGGGGGCCTTCTTCATGGATGAGGATGAAGAGCTCTACAAGAGAGATTTTAGTGCACCTACTCTTGAGGACCATTTCAACAAAACCATTCTTCCGGAAGTCATGCAGGTCAAGAATTTTGGACGGTCTGGTCGCACCAAGTACACCCACCTTGTGGATCAAGATACCACTTCCTTTGACTCTGCATGGGGCCAAGAGAGTGCCCAGAACACAAAGTTCTTTAAACAAAAGGCAGCTGGGGTACGGGATGTGTTTGAGCGACCATCTGCTAAGAAGAGGAGAACCACCTAGGCTTCAACTGCGTATTCCAACTGTGGGACACAAGGGGAGCTGGTCCTCAATTTTCATGAACCATTACTTACATAGTCCTTGTATAGAGCCTTCTGGACTTACTGCCATAACTTGTGTTTGAAGGTGCTTTGGAAGAGGTTTGGACTCATACTGAGAAACCTGCAGAAAAGCACTAACCAGGTAGATTAGAGGCTTCCCACTTAAAACTATTTCTGAGAAATCTTAGGTTTCTCTACCATGGCTTCCCATATTGACTTGGGACTGTTCTGAGCTTATTTTTCCAGCATCTTAGCCTGGATCAGATGTATGGGCATGTGAGTGGATGGTGCAATACTTCTTTCTTAGAGTTAGAAGTAGGATATCAAGAAATCTAAGCTCAATCCAACCTGTTTTTTTTTTTTTTTTTTTTTTTGCATTTGGGGTGTTGAATCTACTTTTCTAAGTAAACATACTTTTTGAAAAAAAAAAGTGGGAGCTGGTCTCCCACAGTGGCTTATCACAAAAACCAAAAAGAGGATGCCTATCTATCCAGCTACAAATCTCCTGGGAATATACCCAAAGGATTCTCGATCTTACTGCAGGAATACTTGCACAGCCATGTTTATTATTGCCCTTTCTCAACAGCAAAGAAATTGTAATTTCCAAGATGGCCATCAACAGAGGAATGGATAATACATAATGGAATTTTATTCAGATGTAGAAAAATGAAATTATGAACATTTTAGGAAAATGGGTGGAATGGAAAATGCTGTGGGATGTTCTGTATGTCAAATGTGTTGCTCTGATTGGTTAATAAATAAAACACTGATTGGCCAGTAGCCAGGCAGGAGGAAGCCTGAGCCATTAGGCCAAACAGTTTAAATAATATAAGCATCTGTGTGTTTGTTTTATAAGTGGGCTGTCGGACTGCCGGGGCTTGGCGGACCTGGAGAGAAAACTCTCCTGCTACAGGAAAACATATTGAACAAGGCATTTCTGCTCAGAGACAAATACTGTACATTATATCTCATGTGCAGATTCTAGGCTCTAAGTGTTAATATTGTGTATCCAGGTAGGAATAAATATGGGTAAATCCTAAGAAACTTGAAAGGGCCCATGAGATTGAAAAGAAAGCCTTTAAGGGAAGGAAGTCAGAAAGACAATTGAACAAAATAGAAGAAGAATAGTAGGATAAAGAGTATGTGGGAAATCTGGGGACAAGGAGACAAAGAAAGAGAAAGTTGGGGTAGGGGATCAGCCCCAAATCAAATACATATAAAACTCTCATAATTCACTTTATAAACTAATTAAAAAACAAAAAACTAATATTTAAAACAACAATACAATTTTTTTTTTCAGCTTGCAGGAACTCTATTTTCCTTCCACCTTTTTTCCCTTTGCTCAGGTGTCTTCAGAGGAGCTTAGGACCACTCAATGGTGGCTCCAACACACTGGGTGGCCTGAGCTGTGGGAGCTGCTGACCAGTCCTCAGTGGCTGGCTAGGCACTTCAGTCTTCAGTAGGGAACTGCTGGATGGGTACAGAGGGCACCTGTACACCCTTGGATCAGTCTGCCACCTCTGGCTGAGCAGCAGTGAACTCAGGAGCTGGTGCAGTCCATTAGCCCTGGAATTCCTCCTTGGTCACAGCCTTCTCAGCAGCGCCCTGTTCCTCCTTCTCAATCTCCTCTGGGTCTCTGTAGAAGTAAAGATCAGGCATAACTTCCCATGGGTGCTCACAGGAGATAGTGCCAGGCATGCAGAGTACTTCCCGGGCCAGCATCCACCACATCAGACCCACTGAGTGAGCTCCCTTATTGTCGCGTGGGATGGCAATGTCCACGTAGCACAGAGGAGAGTCTGTGTTACACAGCGCAATGGTGGGCAGGTTGACATGAGACGCCTCTGTGAGGGGCTGGTGGTCAGCTCTGGGATCAGTCACCACTAGAAGCCGCGGCTCCCTGAAGGCTGCTTGGATCTGGTTAGTGAAGGTCCCAGGGGTGAAGCGGCCAGCAATCGGAGTGGCTCCAGTGGCGGCAGCAAACTTCAGCACAGCTCGCTGCTCAGTGTTCCTGGAGGAGATGACGCTGACATCAGCAGGGTTCTCAAAGGCAACAATAGCACGGGCTGCAAGTGACAGCTTCTCCCAGGTCCTCTTCAGGTTTATGATGTAGATACCATCACTTTTCCGCCCCATCTGAAAGTCAAGGTTGGTGCCACCTAAGTGGGTTCCTGCAGCAAGGAATTTGAGGATATCCTCCTCCTTAATCTGCAGGACATCAAGGACTCCGGACATTGTGTAAGTTTCCCTTTAAGTTACGACGGGAATCAAGAACAACAACATATGGACCCGTCCCAGAGTAGCGCGGAAAAGCAACAATACAATTTTTAAAGTCTAACTTTGCTATAGTATTCGGCTCACCAAATGTTAGCTAATGGTAGTGTAATGCCTTCTGTGGGAGGTGAACAAAGAAACGTATCAAACCAGGACCGATACTTTCCCATGCTATAACATTCTTGAAAACTCATAGTTTTCATTATTGGCCATATTATAACCTCTATTGGTAAAATATATATATATATATATATATATATATATATATATATGAATTGAGGATGGAATTTAAGTGGAGGGAAAGCCAGCACTTACTCTTCAGATCTCTGTGCAGACTTGTGTGAGAAACAAGCTTGGCTCTGTCTTTTGTTTTTTTTGTTTTTTTTGTTTTTTTTTGGTTTTTCGAGACAGGGTTTCTCTGTGTAGCTTTGCGCCTTTCCTGGATCTCACGCTGTAGACCAGGCTGGCCTCGAACTCACAGAGATCCGCCTGGCTCTGCCTCCCAAGTGCTGGGATTAAAGGCGTGCGCCACCACCGCCCGGCTTTGGCTCTGTTTTGTAATCAGGGGCCGTTTTGAAGCTCTAGTTCAGTAAGGTCTCTGTCAACTGTAAACCTTAAATTTTGTTTCTCAGAACTGGGGTACGCACCACCACTGTGACCACGGCATGTTCTATAACAAATGTTCCAGGAAGATTTTCTGAACGTGTGGTCTCTCTTCTGTGATCACGCTTGCTCACAAAATCCCCCCACCCTATAGTTTTGCCCTGTAGAAGTGGATTTTGTGAAATTGTCTCAGGGCTGTTCTCCTGCACCCTGCCTTGGGTGAGACAGCTGGCCAGCTCTCTGGTGTGCACAATAAAGCTTGCTTTGATTTGGCCATAATTTGTGGTCGGTGGTCTTTATCCCCATTTGGTGTGATTAATATGTGCACATGGGTTACCTGGAGGATGTAATTCAACTCTACAGTCACAAGCTGACCGTTCTTTCAGAACTCTGTAGAAGTTGCACCAAAAAAATGTTGATTAGTTTTTGTCTAGAGGGACCTGATTTTTCACGCCTCTTAGAGGGCCAAGAAACTATTAAAAATGTCTTCCTGGCCGGGCGGTGGTGGCGCACGCCTTTAATCCCAGCACTTGGGAGGCAGAGCCAGGCGGATCTCTGTGAGTTCGAGGCCAGCCTGGTCTCCAAAGCGAGTTCCAGGAAAGGCGCAAAGCTACACAGAGAAACCCTGTCTCGAAAAACCAAAAAAAAAAAAAAAAAAAAAAAAAAATGTCTTCCTGCTTCAGAGAATAACACAGATCTACTCTCCCCATTTTAGGAAGAGCAGGACCCAAGTCCTTACCTAGACATTTAACAGTGCCCTTCAAATCTTAATTTGGCTACGACACTAACGAAATAAGAGGAAATTTTAAGGTAGATCCAGGAGTGTCCCTGATATGAGGGCTCTCTATTTTTGTCACTTGCTCTGCTCTGCTTCAGGACTGCTGGTGTGCCAGCTGCTGATTAGGTTTTTTTGTTTTTGTTTTTGTTTTTGTTTTTTGTCAATTTGACACAGTTTAGAATCACCTGGGAAGATGAAGCTTTAATTGAGAAGACACCCCCCCCATCATATTCGCCTACACATAAGCTTTGGAATATTTTCTTGATTGATGATTGATGGGAGAGGGCCCATCCCTCTATGGGCCATCCTGGACTATGAATGAGAACAAATTGAGTAAAGCCCCAAAGAGCAAGCCAATAAGCAGTGTTCCTCTATGCCACTGGTTCTTGATCTATGGGTCGTGACCCCTTCGAGAGTTAACTGACCCTTTCACAGGGGTTGGTTTAAGACCATGTAAAACCACAGATATTTACATTACGATTCATAACAGTAACAAAATTACAGTTATGAAGTAGTAATGAAAACAGTTTTGTGGTTGGGAGTCACCACAACATGAGGAACTGTATTAAATAGGAATTGCAGCCATAGGAAAGTTGAAAGCCACTGTTGTATACCACAGTCTATGACCTCTGCTTCAGTTCCTGCCCCCAGGTTTTTGCCCTGCTTGAGTTCCTTTGGCATCCCTCAATGAAGGACTGTGATTGGGACATGTAAGGCAAACCAACTCTTTACTCCTCAAGTGGCTTTTGGTACTTTATCACAGCAACAGAGAGCAAACAAAACTTCATACTTGTGACCAAATACCCAAGATAACCGCACAAAGCAGAACAATTTTATTGGGGCTTCTGGTTTACGAGATTTCAGCCCATGACCACTGGGCTTTACATTTCCTGACCAGTGGGGAGGCAGAATATCCTGGCAGAAGGGTGTAGTGGAGCAGAGCTGCTCCTAGCAGCCAAAAAACAGACAGAGTGTGGGGCAAGGCCTGGAAAATATGTCTACACCCCTAGACTCTTACTTCCTTCAACTAGGCCTCATGATCTAATCACTGGCTCAATGATTAGATCACAATCACATGATCTCAATGACTGGCTCAATAAGCTGGGGACCAAACCTTCAACACACACGAGCCTTGGGGAGGGGGATGATACAAATTTTATTTCCAGAATTATAATTGTCGGTACTTTCAGGGCCAAGTTGACGTTGAGTTATTTTATGAACAACACACTGGGCACAGTGAGGTCTAAATGAACTGTTCCTACAATGACATTAGAATAAAAGCAATCCAAGGAGCTTAGCTCAGATTGCTCTCTAGCAAACACAGACATCA